AGTTATTTTGTAGACTATCTTATAGTTTGGATTTGTCTGATCATTTCCTCATGGTTAGATTCTGGTTCCTTTTCAGCAAGAGTGTTTAGGGCACAATGGTGGTGTGTTCTGAGTGTATCACCTCAGGAACACAGAATGTCATGTCTCCTTTTATTGGTGGTGTTAACTTTGGTTACTTGGTAAAGGTAGTGCCCTCCAGATTTCTCCATTATAAAGGTACTTTGATCAATATTTTAAGAATTAATTCCAAATCTATGGCTTGATCTTTGTATTTGAGTATTTACAGTGTTCAGAAAATGATTTCTTTATACTTTGAGGAAACATGTGGTATAGTGGAAGAAATAATTTAAAAACAGGTACAGATACCAAGAGCTGCAAAGTAAATGCAAACAACTGAAAACTATATTATTGAGGAATGAGTCTAAAGCATGTGTCTCACACAGATAACCTATAGTGCACCCAGTGGTGCTAGATTTTCCCATTTTTTAAAAAAGAAATCAGAAATCCATATTTTTATGGGAAATTTCCTGATTTATAAAACAACTGTGAGAAAACCCCAGGACGTTTTGGACCACTAATTTGTGCTGTCATAAAGGGATGCTGCAATGTTTGATATAGGGTGAGGTCAGCCATAAAAATGGGATTTGTCTTAAGGAGGATGTTGAAAGATTCGGGATTATGGTGTGCAAGGAATGTATGGAAGACTTAGGAAGAGAGTGAGTGGGTTATCTGTGGGGATGGCAAATAGGTTTTCCTTGCTCAGAGACTCCAAGTTGGGGAGAACTTACGGAGACAGTTTGAAAAAGATGTTAGAAGCAGATGTCTAAAAATGAGGAGAGAGCGACAACTCCTGCTAGTTTATGAGGAGGGTCACAGTGCCCTCAGATGACACATTTGGAAAGTTAGACTGTGCCATGTATTTTGTAGGACTCTTCCATTTAATTTGCAGTGTTCAGATGAATGCATTTTTGTATTGTATTCTGTACAATCTCCTATACTTTGATCTGTTCGTATCTACTGATTATCTTGGTTTAATTGGGTTTACTAACAAATTCTTTACTCTCCACCAGCTTCGAGCTCTATACTCAATGTACCTTCGAAAAACAAAAAGTTTGAATAAATTGCTCTATCACCTGTTCAGACTGATGCCAGAAAACCCAACCTTTTCAGAGACAGCTATTGAGCTCTCCAGTAAGGACCCTAAAACTTTCTTTACAGAAGAGCTCCAGCTGAGTATTAGAGGTCAGTATGATGTGTTTTTGTGTTCTTTCTTGGAGACGAGGTTCAGATTAGGTTATATTATGCCTTATCCTGAGGGTGTGGAGAGTAACCCCAAACGTGGGTCCTGGCTATGAAAATGTTGCAGTGAGAGATTTTCCATATTTTTCTAAATAGGACATAGAATTAGACTGAGTGGCTAAGATTGTTAAGAATTTAATTTTTGAAGCTTAGTTTGTTGAGACTTATCTTTTACTCTGTAAACAAATATTTGTTATATGATAATGTCTTATTGGCCTGTAAATGAATAGTCATCAGCTGGGGAAAAAAGGTAAGTAAAATTTATTGTTTTTACTTCGGGAGCCCACATTTTAGCTGAACGGATAGATAAACACACATCTAGCTGGACCACAATGTTCTAAGTGATCTAAGTGATTTCCTGAGAATAGGAATTTTTTAAATGCCTTGGAGATCTGAGGATGGAACTTCGTCTTGTTGAGTATTGAGGTGGGATTCTAGGACTTTTGCATAACACATCAGTGAGAGTAAAGGAGGCCAGCAAACTCTTTTTCATAATTTATAAGAAAAAGAATCTTTAATTTTTCCTCCTTTAAAAAGTATGTGTGTTTCATTATATTTGTGATTTTTCATGTGAAACTTATAGAGTGCCATTTCTGGGCAGATTTTTCGGTGTCATTTGGGATCTTCATTCTTTTTGCCATTTTGGTTGTTCGTTTTGAATGTGTGAGACAGCTAATATTCGAGTTCTGGTTTCTTGGGTATGTTTGTTCTATGAGCTCTGGCACTAGTGTTAAGGAATTAAAAATGATCTTCTAAGGAAAATACTACGATTAGTCTGTTATTCCATGTAAGAAATACATCTTACTAACTAAGAATTTATTTTTTTCCTCAGATACCTCAACTCTTCCATACCACATTCCGCACTTGGCTTGTTCAGTCTATCACATGACATTAAAAGACTTGCCTGCCATGGTTAGGCTGTGGTGGAATAGTAGTGAGAAACGTGTTTTCAATATTGTAGATAGATTTACAAGCAAGTATGTTAGCAATGTTCTTTCTTTTCAAGAAATATCTTCTGTGCAAACAAGTACACAACTGTTTAATGGCATGACGGTTAGTATTGTCTTAAATTTTTTCTAGAAAAGTTGCTTGAATATTGGTTATGTCTGTCAGTTGTAGTGAGTATCATCACAGTTATAGCTCTTGGTTCAGAATTTATAGAAATTGTCTACTTTGTTTTCTGATTTTTGGGTATCAAATCTCAAATTAAATCAAAATAATGTTATAATTTCATTTACCCCCTTTTTTGTTTATTCGGTTTATTTGTTATTGAAGTATAGTTGATGTACAATGTTATATATGCTACAGGTGTACAATATAATGATTCACAATTTTAAAGGTTTTTGAGCATTCATTAGTTACTTTGAAATATATATTGGAATACCTACAGATGCGAGGCACTGTATGCCAGTCACCTGCAAAATGAACAGTTTAGAAAGGTCAGATACCTGTCCTGTAATAACATAATCTAATACAGGGAAAAGAGTGATACCAGTAATGTTTTTTGCATTGGAAACTAGGAAGTGGCACATTATGAGGGAGAGTATTCTGTGCTCACAGAGGGAAAGGTTCACCTGGCTGAGGGGTTCAGGTGAGACTTTATGGAGAAAGTTGAGGTAGGCAGGATTTTGTTATGGGAAAAATGAGGGGAAAGGCATTTAATTTACAGAACATAATATGGGAAAAGCAGAAAGCTTGGAGATGAGAATAAAGTTTCTGTGATTGCCTACAAAATGATGAATAGCCCAGTATTCATACAGGGTAGAACTCCTGAAGGTAAATAGAGAATAAAATGCTTCTATGATGAATTAGGACCATATTGGGAGAGGCCTCAAACAACAGTCTAAAATATTTGGTCCTATGTAGCCTCTGGAATTTTTCTTTTGAGGCAGTGACACTGTCAGAGTTCTAATCTATGAAACTGCTCTAACTGAATCTCTAACATGGTCTTTTGGCAGGGAGCTTGAGTTTCAGACGTCAACACCAGTTAGGGAGACTGTTAATGTGGGCATTATGAGGAGGGCCTGAGGGAGGCAGTATCAGTGGAAATGGTCCTTAAAAGTAGAGGGGTGTGAGGAATTTTGTGGTGCTTTATCCAAACTTGCAACTAGTTAATATCTGGGATTCAGTAGAAGGAGAAATTTAAGATGATGCTATGGTTTTTATAGCCTGGAAATAGGAATGCCAGAAGAATAAATTTGTAAAGGATGGTAATTTGTGTTTTATGTTGAATTTGCAATGCTAGTAAGAGAATCAAGGTCAGGTATAAATATTTTGGCAGTTGTTGATTGACTCTAAAGCTCAAGAGAATTCTCTGGTAGACAAAGACTTGGGAGACCTCTAAACAGAAGTGGTATTTGATCCTCTTGGTTTGGAAGAGAAGGAATAATAAATAATAACCCATTCTGTTATTGGTCTGTGCAAAAACTATTTATGATATGACAAGCCTAATATAATAAAACATACTTTATGAGCAGTGCGTTTCTTTTGGAAATATCTTTGAGTGTCATAGCAACACTATAAAATACATCAGGTATTTGAGCCTCTTTATTAAATATCTCATGTCAGAAAACTGAACATGTTTATTCATACTTCAGTAGTCAGCCCACCAAGGTGTTTTCTGAATGAAAACAAAGAAAAGAAATTCGGCAAAAAAAATATTAACCTCTTGTGTTGCAGGTGAAAGCTCGGGCTACTACGCGAGAAGTAATGGCCACTTATACAATTGAGGACATAGTTATTGAACTTATAATACAGCTGCCTTCAAATTATCCACTGGGTTCAATAACAGTAGAAAGTGGGAAAAGAGTTGGAGTGGCTGTTCAGCAGTGGCGGAACTGGATGCTCCAGTTAAGCACATACCTCACCCATCAAGTAAGTTTCTGTGTCCAAACCAGAGGGATAGTGCTGATTTACTATCTGAGGGCAATAAAACTTTCAGTAGTCTCTTCTGCTTAAGTAGAAACGGACATCATAGTTTGTTGGATAACACAGATATCTGCCTAAATGATTTGAACCTGCCAAGCTGTTTTAGTTTTTAAGGCTCTACAACATTTTTGTCTGGTATTTGAGAAGAACTGACTTTACTTCACTGACATTGTAGATGACATAGAACAATACATGGTATTAACGGAATTGTTTGAGAGGGAATCTTTTTGCAAGATACAGGATGGATGAATGTCTTCTGAGCTACGTAGCAATTTAAGTCTCCTTTTGTGGTTAGAGTAATCCCAGTACCTGTGCCTTTTAAACAAGTACAAGCGTTCTCTAGTTCTGTTTATACATTGTGATGTGTACCTCAGGCATTCTACAGTAAAGAAAAATTATTTTAAAACAAGTGTATTCACCAGTATTAGAGAGCTGGAACAGATTAGCATTTGAGAAGGTAAGAATTAATTTCATTATTTTTAGTTAAAACTCAGGAGAACTGATCTAAATGACTTAATTATTCAAAGAGTTTTACTGAACAACAAGCTCAGGCAATAAAACTGGAAAATTAGGATAGAGGCCTTTCTTTCAAGTCTGCCTTTAATGGAAAAAAATTATATCTGGTTCCTAAAACTTGGAAAGTCATTTTAAAAACCAGTATTCATAAAAGTTAGAATTATGAATGTAGCCAAGCAGATTTTCTTTTCTCCAAGTTATAATTCAACTTTAAAATTTGTGAAATTGAATAAAAGTAACATTGGTGATCTTCAGTATATATTGATTTATTAATTTATTAAATTTATTTTTTTCTTATTAACAGAATGGAAGTATTATGGAAGGCTTAGCGTTATGGAAGAATAATGTAGACAAACGTTTTGAGGGTGTTGAAGATTGCATGATCTGTTTCTCAGTCATTCACGGTTTCAACTATTCTCTTCCCAAAAAAGCCTGTAGAACATGCAAGAAAAAGTTCCATTCAGCTTGCTTGGTAAGTCTGGAGAGAAATTAACTTATTTATATCTAATGTATAATTATATATGTATGATATCTAACCTTGGATAACAGTGGCTATTAATCTCTTACTTGTAGTTAATGACAGACATATTAAAAATGATTTTTCAAAAATATGTGAAAGATAATTAGTAATTTATTGAGAGAGGTGGCATCAAAGCATTTTAATAAGTGGTTGTTTCTAAAATTGCTCTCAGAACTCAAAAAATAGGTGGTCTCATAAGATCTACACCGTAAAGGAGACTGAAAAAGTTAGACCTCGGGGCCATCTGGCATCAGAGTTTTTTTGCTCTTTTTAAACATCGTATTGGGAAGAGAGTTGCCCTATGTTCAGTTGCTTCATGGGAGGTCTTCCCATGGAGGATCCCATGGATCTTCGTGGTTGTGTGCCTGAGTGGAGGTGGGAAGCAGTGCAGTGTGGCCTTTGGAAGGAGTACTGAGTCGTGTTGGTTTTAGAGATGAACAGAGGGAAAAGACGTTTCAGTTTCTCCCTTTTTTACTTCATCATTTTAAAGCTATTTTAGATTTATATGTAAAATGACAGTTTAAAAAGTTCTCTTAACATTTAAATAAACTTTTCTTTTTCAGTACAAATGGTTTACGTCTAGCAACAAATCTACTTGTCCACTCTGTCGTGAGACGTTTTTCTGAGATTTTTTTTTTCCCATTGGAAGTGATCCCTGAAGTAAATCAAGCAAAGGCAATGGATTTGGATTCATCTTGAAGTGTTAATGTGAGGAGGCCAGTGAGCATTACTTTTAAATAGGACCTTCTCTGGAAAATTATTTTGGTTAATGTAATGATCGTAAAATCAGGTTTACTTATCTTTAGATTGCTTTGTAAATGTTTGGAAACCTTTTCTTTTACATAAGAATATTACATATTTGAGAGAAAATATTTATATTAATAGTTTAATCTCTTTGTATATTTAAAAATAAATATGGAAAACCTCTAAATTACAGAATTGGAATTTGTGAAAGCATTGTACAACTGTATTATACTGTTAAACCCAGTTTGATGATCTGTGTTTTAGAACTGTCCAAGTGAGGCAAATGAATTGAGAGGGTTGATTTACAGCTACAGATATTTTAAGATGTATTTATTAGTTATGACAACAAAATTAGTATTCTGATATTTGTAGATTATTTTAATGATAAAATGACATTAAGCTATTAATATAGCTTATCTTAAGCTATTTAAAGCATGCTCTGAAATTCTATATAAAGAGTATAAACTGAACTTTAAGGTGCCTCCATTTATTAAGGGTTATGAAATTCAGAGATTAAATTCATGACACTGACCTTTTGCTGTAGAAGAATTTCCTTGTATTAGTGAAATTTGAATAGCAGACTTGTCAGTGAATTTATCACTCAGTTGGAATGAGTCTTCTTCAGAGGGGGAGAATTTGGGAGAAACAGGGATTAGATTATTTCATTCATGAAGCAGAGTGGTAGTTATTCCTCTGTCAAGAGGGAAGAAATAAATGAGTTACATCTGAAATTTAAGAATGGTGGAAAAACGGAAGATAACATGTTGCAGGAGGCTTTGAATTTTGTAAGCAAATTTTGCTATTCTTACTGATTAAAGTTACACTAAATTAGAGATCTGGGGGGAGCTAATTTTTTCCAGTCTTCAGAAGTGCAAGTTAAGAATTTTAATACTAAGTAAAATTCAGTATAACAGGCTGAAATGGAGTAGGTAAAAACCTGCCTTTTACCACAGTACTATTGCCCTTAAAAATTGTGCCCCAAATATAAAAGTGTGGAAGTTTGGAACCTGGGATAATTTTATTGCAGTCTTCCATTACATGGGAAATAGTAACGTATCTAATAGCAAGGTTACTTGAAAGGTCAGCTCATCATCTCTGTTGCAAACGTTTAGGCAAAAAGCAACTCATGTTAAATAAAATTACTGCCCACCATCAACTGGGTAGAATGGTTGTTATTGAAACAGTGTGAGTGTGGTCAGAGTATTTTAGTGGAGAGTGAAGTCTTACGTGAGTTGAAGGTCTTGAGTTGTATTTGCAGATGCAGTGGCCTGCCCAGTCTTGTCTCCGCAGTTCTTCTCTGTAGTATTTATTACCTTACAGCTTTGAGACTCAAGGAGGCAGTAAGCGAAGTACAAATAGCAAAATTCTACTACCTCTTCTTAACCCCTTTCTTAAAATAGTCTCGTTCTATGTCTCTCTCTGACATAGTAAACCCAAAGGATTGTGCTATTCTTCTGTGAAAGTTACCTTTCTTTTAAATATGGTTTTGTAATAGGCCTTTGTTTATAACTTTTACAGTATTGGTATGTCTTGGCTTCTGACCCTAGCCCAAAATAGAAAAGAAAAGGGAATAATGGAGCATTGTTTTTCCACGTTATTTAGGGCATCAGGTTCTTGGTGAAACACTGTAAGTGTAGGACACCTACTCTTCATACTTAGGACTCTTAGAGTATTTCTTTGAAACCTGTAAATATAAATGTAAAGCTTGTTACTGTTTATATGCTAAAGAAAAAGCTTTCCAGAGTAAGACTGAAATTCAGAATACCACATTATTTAAAGTTTATTTATATAGCTTTGACAACTTGAGAGCATCCCCTTAAAATTCTAGCATAAGGACATTTTAAAATTGCATGAGATTCAAAGCCCATTAGCAAAATTATTAATTTAAAACCCTAATGTAAATTGCAAATTTTAGGATTTATTTTTAACTCTTATTTATCACATGCTGTAATGTATGTACAAAAGTTTCTGTGGCTTAAATAATGTTATTACTTGACAGGTTTTTGTGGTGTGAATAATTACTGTTATTATTTGATTGTTATACCATATGTGCCCATTAAAATTCTTTTAAATTACAAAATATTTCAAATATACATACTAATAATATAAATGCCCTGTACTCTTCATAAACTATTTTGCCATATTTGCTTCTGATTTTTAAAGAAATAAAGTGTTACTCTTTTGTACTCCTCCCTGACGCCATCTCCTCCTTCCCTCGTTAAAGCTAACCACTGTTCTGAAGTTGGTGTGACTTCTTCCTATTTAAGGTTTTATACTTTACCACATGTTTATATCCATAAATAATATATAGCAGTTTTTTTAAAGTTTATGATATCCTATTTTAAGTGTTCTTTTGTAACTCGCTTTTTCACTGTGTTTTTCACTCAACATAACTGCTGTATATTATCATATTCTGTCACTTTGCTTTCCATTTCCCTCACTGATCGTCATTTCAGTAGTTATTTTTTGCCTTTTGAACTGTGCTGCAAGTGTATAGTCTTGATAATGTGTTCTCAGGCAAATGTGCTAGATACTCTGGACATACACCCCCAGGTGGAATTTCAGGTAGTAGATAACTCTGTGGTTTTAGATGTAAACCCTGGGACTTTAGATGTTGTCAGACTGCTCTCCAATGTAGTGTGCAAGTTTGCACTCCCAGTGGCAGTGTAAGAGAACTCTTATCTCGTCACCAAAATGCTTAATCTTAACCAGATTTTTTAAGTTTTCCAGTCAGAGCTGTGAGATAGTAGCTCTTTGTTTTAACTTATATTTCCCTGGCTACCAGGAATCTTTGCTTCACTCCATATATTTATTGCTTATTATTTTATGAATATATTATCTGTATGTCTGTTTTTCTCTTGGATTGCATATATTCTTACTGATTCTAATGCTTTGTCTCTTATTAGACTTCTAGTATGTGGCTTGACCTTAACATAGTCTGTGGCCATCTTACACAGACTCTTTCAGTTAAATTTACTCCAATTTATCATTCATTTTCCTTATGGTTGAACCTTTACTGTGTTAGGTTTAAAAAATTTGTTCCTTCCCTGAGGTTTAAAAAAATTGTGATCTTTAATTCTGAAAGTTATGATTTTCAAAAAAAACCTAATTCACCTGAAACTAAATTTTGTGACTGTTGTTACGATAGAAATCCTACCTCATGTAGTCAATTCTCATAGTATCATTTATTTAATAGTCCAGCCATTGATTTTGTAGTACCTCTGTCTTATATTTCCAAATCTTCTGGTGCATGTTTTGTATTCTACTCCACTGCTCTGTTTATCTGTTTTAATTTTACACAAAATTTTTTTCTTTGAAAAACAGCTTCATAGTTAATCTTGAAGGGTAGGTGAGTAGCCTTCTACTCTTGCTCTTCTTCAAGGCCTTTCTTAGATAGTTACATCCTCCACTATCCAAGAGCTCCCTTTCCCCCTGATTGTTTACTATCGTGGCCATTTTGTTCTTACTGTAATGAATTGTCTTATGGAAAAACTTGGCAAGTGTCTATCAGGTTTTATCTGGTACGACCAGGAGATACTTCTGGCCTTGCCAAATTTTATCCTTAAGGTTTTGTAGTCAGTTATTCTCAATTTGTTTGGTTTTCAAAATTAGAGGCAAAACTTTTGTGTATTTATGATGGAATCCTCGAACTTCTCTATGAATGTTTTTCTTTCTCTTTTATAAAAGTTCCTTGCAAAAGGACTTTGGGCTGAGCAGGGTGTTAAACAGTGTTGAGCATGGGGGTGAGCTATTTCCAATAGCTTTGATAATTTTTTTTTCTTTAAACTGTGGTTTTCTTTTTAAGGACACCAACTTCTTTAGGTAGCACCAAGTCATCAAATAATTTGTATATTTGTTGTCCAGATTTTATAGGGGTACCTGAGGAGGTTAAGAAACCCCAGTTTCCATGGCATTCCAAATTGATGTATACTATTTCAGAAATACTGATGATAGTATATTGATTTGCTCTTTCATTTTTAGCAATGTGATGTGGCCTCTAGAAGACCACAAGTTTGACCACTTGAGCCTATCTGGTTAAGTACTAGATGCTAAAAAACATTAGTTATTGTATAGACAGATATTGTTCATTTCGTTCTTTTTCTTTCTTTAAGATAAGATCCATTAACAAGCAACAGCTGTTAAGAATTTAGTAGTAATGTTCAAAATGTCTGTTCTGGGCATGAACCTCTTGAACTGTAGAACCATAATCATGAGAATCTCCTTCATCAGCTAAAGTCAAGAGAGTTTCTGGATTAGAGAGGGCTACAGCAGTTGATGGTAAAACAAGAAGGAAAAAGTGAAAATGTACATTATATGCTATCATCAGATTTGCTTTTGCGTATTGATCTTGTACCCTGCAACCTTGCTGAACTTGTTAGTTCTAATTGTGTGTGTGTGTGTGTGTGTGTGTGTGTGTGTGTGTGTGTGTGTGTGTGTGTGTGAATTCCCTAGGATTGTCTACGTACGAGATCTTGTCATTGGCAACAAAGACAGGTTTACTTCTTTTCCAATCTGGATGCCTTTTATTAGGTATCTGGTTAGAACCTCCAGTGTTGAACAGACGTGGTGAGAGCAGATGTCTTTGTTTTGTTCCTGATCTTAGTCATTCGGCATTGTGGTGTTAGCTGTAGTTGATCAAAATCTGTAGGTCAGATTTGTACATATCAAATCTGTAGTTGATACAATCAGATTTAAAGGTGCACTAAGTACAGATTCTGAAGATACTTCAACTAATTAATTAGTCCGGGCTGTACTTCCTCAATACAAGAGAAAATAAGCTATTGGCTCCAAGGATAGGCTGTAAGAGGTGACAGAGTTTTGATGTATGTCATGCTGTTGAAAAACCATTATAGAGCAGAGTCTCTCAGCCTGAGTACTGTTGGCATTTTGAGCTGCATACTTTGTTTTGGGGACTGTACTATGCATTGTAGGATGCTTAGCAGTGTTCTTGGCCTCTCTTTACTAGATGCCAGTGCAACATCCCAGTTATGAGAACCAAAAATGTCCAGACAATGCCAAATGTCCCCTAGGTGGACAGTTTTGCCCCCAGATGACAACCATTGCCTTAGAGCATGGACTAATCAAGCACCAGTCAGTAGGAATACAGCCTGAGCCACATATGATATTTTAAGTTTTGCTAGTAGCCAAAAATGTAAGAAGAAATAGGTGAAATTCATTTTAATAACATTCTATTTAACTCGGTATCCAAAATACTATTTCAACATGTAATCAATAAAAAATTTAGATATTTTACATTCTTTTTTCATATTACATCTTCAAAATCCAGGGTATTTTAAATTTATAGCACATTTCAATTTAGATAGGAAATTTTCATCAGGAATACTCGATCCATATTTAGATTTCAGAAAATTTGCAGTGAAAAAAGTACATTCACATAACCCAATTTTTTTCCAAACACACTTAAGGTTTTCCAATAACTGGATCTAGTGTCCATTTTGAAATTTAAATTAATTAAAATTAAATAAAAATTTTAAATTTAGTTTCTCAGTCATACTTGCCACATTTCAAGTGATCATTAGCCACACGTGGTTAGTGGCTGTTGTATTGGACAGTGCAGGCCTAACCTTCTATGTACATACAAAAAGGAAGGTTTATGATAATCTAGGAAGAATCAGTCTGGACTCTTAAACTCAGCTATAGGTACTTTGCCTGTACCTTGAGAATCATGTGTAGAAATTCTAGGATCATAGCTTATCCTTTGAATCATACCTAGTGGCAGTAATATGTTAAAATTGGCTATATTTTGGTAATATGTAGCATTTTCTAGAACTCTGAAAAATAATACTTCTGCAGTAAATTTTACCTGGCAGTTCCATTTATTAAGCAGTACCTTACCTATTAAATGTTTGTATCAGGAAGAAAGTACTGTATTCTGATAATGGTCCCAAAATAATTGTTATAGATTGTTGGACATTTCAACTATTTGAGTGGTTTTAGTATTCTGAGGGGATCTGACATTCTACGGTGCTAGAATTATTAGGAGATAAACTTACCTGTATCTGTACATTGTTGTCCATCCATCTATGGAGCTTTCTCCATAGGAGTTTAGAAGAAAGTTGGAGAATTGTTAAATGCTAATGTATCCTGTGGTAGCATTGGAGAGATTTTAGATAGTTCTCCTATGTTTTAGTCATTACAGGACATTAATTCTTCCCATGGCCTTTCTGCTTATTAACCATATTACTGTTAACCATAGCTGCCCAATTCTTATAGAATGGAGAACCTTTAAGCCTTTTGTTTTGTTTTGTTTTGTTTTGGTTGTCAGTTACTTTATCTTAAGGTCAGAAGTTTGTTTTGATTTCTAGATTTTTGAAATGTTCAGAGATGTTTAGGAGATGTTTAGGATATCATCTAAACTGGTATTTCTGAGTCTACTTTCAAAACATAATAATAATAAAAAAGGATAAACCTGTCTGTCTTTATATTAGCTCTTGAAGTTAGCTCTTGAAGGATATGGTTTGAATTTTTTTTCTGAGTCTGTTTTTGGAGTCTGCTACTTATTTATCTTTTTTGTTTGTTTACAGTTTTGAGTTTTTGTCCAATCTACCTCTGAGGGAAAGACTTCTGAAACGGTCTGATGTAGTCCGTTTCCTATTTGCTTACCCTTTCAGGGTCATTTCTTGAATTATAAACCATCTCCTAGTTTTGGGGGGTTTTTGGTTGTCATTGTTTTTGCTGCTTTTAACCTTTGTGCTCCCATCTTAGGGGCCAATAATTAAGTGAAATTGTTGGTACAGACCTGGTAGTCCAGGGCAATAAATATCTAACTGAATTCTGCATAAATTTATCTCCCTAAGATTAAGAAAATCTATAATTAAAGTTCTCAACTTGACTTTAGGCCAAGATTCAAATATCAGTTTTCTTAGATTTGCTTTCTAGTCTAATAGTTTTGAAGGGATATTATATGATGTAATTGATCTCTGTTAAACACTTTGAGAAAACGATTCTTGTTTTGGAGGCAGGAGAAGGTGCAGAAAGATAGAAGGGGTTTAAGGGAATGATAAAGATACAGCCGTGTAGAGAGAATGGTGCAGGGAGGGTGGGTTTCAGAAGGTTTAAATGGTGGAGAAATTGTGTTTCTTTGACAGAGACTTTCTAAGAGTCCTTGTTTTGTTTTGAGGCCTCAGCATAACCAATCAAAAGTTGACTGTTGAATGATTTAGGCTTTTTGTTTGTTTGTTTTGTTTTCTAATTTTTCTAGCACTCCTTTGAAATGTGTTAATTTTCATATATCAGAAGTTCACTCTAATAGCTATTGTAATTCTAAGTCATTTTTAGCAAAATTTTTCCTCTTATCAAATTCAGGACAAGGGTTAGGATTATACTGAAAATTCTGCCAGGAGGAGGTTGTGCCTTTGACACAGACAGATCAGTGACAAACAAGAAAAAGGCACTGCATTAGTCAAGCGTATTTGTTATGATAGATGAGGTTCTTTAACCAAGCAGAGGATAGGAAAGAGCTGTGTGATCAGTGACCCCAACAACTGATGATCCTGAAATACGGACGAAACAAAGTGAACTTCTTTCACAAACTGCCAGGCCTTGGAGAGTACTCTTGTGTATCTTATGTACAAACGCAGTTTGGCCAGTCATTTTAGCAGCCAGCTGTCAGCAGTCTAATGGATCCTTAGTCTTTAGGGCCAACTTGTGTTGGAGACTTCGCCTATGCTTCTCTGTCTGTTCCCTATGAAGCGTTTCCTTATATGTTCAACAGACACAAGACAGTAAGGGACACATGAGACACATGAGACAAGAATTTGTATAAACAGATGAGCAAGAAAGTGAAAGCAAACCAAGCAGTGGGTCTGATTATCATAAAGACAGACTGAATTGTACTGACCTATACGAAGATACATTTGTTTAGAAGTCTTAGATAAAGCAATTTCAGCAATTAGAGCTTAATGAAACTAGCCAAAGTTCAGATTGTTTTTGAGAAACTCACCTGGCAGCAGATGTGATGACTATTGGGAGTTTGGGACTCAAGAGGCCACTGATCTTTCCTGTTGGTCCAAGGATCCATTGAGATACTGTCAAGTGAGTTTTATAAATAATCTCAATGTGAGAATTATCCAAGGAAGGGATCAAGATTACCACTTGATATCTGAAACAAAAACTGTATTACTTAAGAAATGGAGAGTTAGGCTGGTTGGGTCTGTCATTTTGAGTAAATCCAACTGCTAATTTTACAATAAGGTTTTTGAGTTAAGTATTGTTTAGGTGTTGTGTTGGTTACAGAGATGGAGTGGGTTGATGTCACCCTTACAAACATGGTTATCCTGGCAAGATATTTTGGCCAGCTGGCTTTCAGAAGATTTAGTGATAAGTTTATTGTTGACTGGTTGACCTTCAAAAGTATGAGACTGTCACTGAATGACTGGCCTCCAGAAGCAAGATTACTGAAGCAGGTTACTGTTGATTAGTTTTTAAATTGGTTCTGATTTACTTGTTAACTGGCTGTAGACAGTTGGTCTTTTATCAAGACTCTGGAGAAAGAGGCTTTTAAAAAAATTCTTAAAAGGTTTGTTGGTTATATAGTTTTTGCTAGATTTACTTTTTAAAAATGAAGTGAAATTCACATAAAATAAAATTAACCATTTTAAAGTGGGCAGGTTATTAGCATTTAGTTCTTTGAACAATCACGCCCCAACCTCCCACCCTAATTATGGTAGCCACTCTGCTTTCTGTCTCTGTGGATTTACCTATTCTGGACTTTTCATATAAATGGAATTGTACATGTGACCTTTTATGCCTGTCTTCTTTCACTTAGCATGGTTTTGAGGTTCATCCACATTGTAGCATGTATCAGTACTTCCTTTTTATAGCTGAATAACATTCTATAGCATGTAAAGACCACATCTTGCTTATCATTCTTCTATTGATAGACATTTGGATTGTTTCTACCTTTTCACCATTGTGAATAGTGCTTCTATTGGACATTTGTGTACAAGTACTTTTATGAGTACCTGTTTTCAATTCTTTTGGGTATGTACATAGGAGTAGAATTGGTGGTAACTCTGTGTTTAACTTTTTGAGAAAACAAACTATTTTCCACAGCAGCTGCCACATTTTACATCCCTACTCAGCAATGTATGAGGGTTCTAATTTCTTCATATTCTCGCCAACACTTGTTACTTTGCATTTTTAAAAATTATAGCCATCTTAGTGGGTATGCAATATTATCTCATTGTGGATTTGATTTGAATTTCTCTAATGACTAATGATGTTGAACATATTACTTTTGATAAAATTAAAGCCTACTAGAGCTGTCAGTCAATAAATCATCAAAAATTATTTCATGTTTAGCATATTACTCAGAAAAAATTAATGAATGCAATGACATTGAATAAAAAAGATTGTTATTACAAAATTCCATTCTCATCTACTTGTTTACATGAAAAGTTTTCTCAGTGATTTCATCTATAAATAGGAAAAATAGGAATAGAATTTATGCCAACTGCTATCTTATTTTAGTTACATATTTATAAGTAATTATATATAGTAATAGTAATATATATAGCTATAAATTATGTGTATATATCCATGGAACTATAAACTAAAAAAATGAAACTACATATTAGTCTCAACTCTAATATGAGATGAATTTCCAGTGAGATTTAAAATAGTTTATGCTTAATTACCTATAAAAATTTTAATGTTTGTTTTTATCCTTTGTGTTCTAATAGTGATTTAATTACAATCTAGAAAAGTATTTTTAATACCTACAGCTTACTGGTTATGGAAAACTAATTAAATTTTTTTGATTTATATTTATATTTTTATTATACAACAGTATTATAGGAGGATACATAAGCTATTTTAAGCACTCAAATATACTATAAATCTGTAAGGGAAGTAGAAGAAAAATACAGATCCAATGAATGATGTTAAATGTATGACTGTTGAAGAACTTCCATGTATTATTTTATTGATGATGGTGGGAATCAAATTGCTGTAGTACTTAGATTCTATTAGATACATTTAAAAGAATGGTACATTTTCCATTTTTAAAAAATTAAGTATTTATAGTATGCCACTGGAAATTATCTTCTTTACGCTTATTTAAACTTATGATGAAAAATTTTAGTTGTCAAGTTAAAAATACATGAAATGGTACATTCTTTCCCAAAATTTGTTTAGAGGTATGCAGGCGATAAAGTTTGAAGACACTTGTCTGGAAGATGGTAAGTAAAAGGCTGGCAGCGGGTTCCCATACCAGAGTTAAACAGACCTAATAGACAGTTTCTTTGCTGGTGGTTTTAGAGAGATTTAAAAATACTTCTTAACTTTAGATTTGGTGCTAGAAAATCTGTCATGAATGGCACGTTAAACTACCTTCCAGGTGAGCCAATAAGTCCTGGTGCTCGAACTGCTGAGGAAATCGCTCTACTGCTTGGGCCAGACCTTCTAAAGGCTCTGTTGCTAGGATTTTAGCGTTACTAGGATTTTAGCATTGCCAGGAAAGAAAGAGAAATCAAACAGCACCCTGTGTAGTCAAAA